AGTGCAGTGGTGCCATCTCGGCTCACTGCAACCTCTGCCTCCCAGGTTCAAACGATTCTCCTGCCTCAACCTCCCAAGTAGCTGGGACTACAGGCGCTGGTCATCATGCCCAGCTAATTTTGTTCCTTTTTAGTAGAGATGGGGTTTCACCATGTTGGCCAGGATGGTCTCGATCTCCTGACTTCGTGATCCACCCACCTTGGCCTCCCAAAGTGCTGGGAATACAGGCGTGAGGCACCACACCTCGCCACTTTAATATCTGTTTTTTTTTTTTTTTTTGAGATGGAGTCTCGCTCTATTGCCCAGGCTGGAGTGCAGTGGTGCCATCTCGGCTCACTGCAAACTCTGCCTCCCGGGTTCAAGCAATTATCTGCCTCAGCCTTTCAAGTAGCTGGGATAACAGGTGCCCGCCACCATGCCCAGCGAATTTTTGTATTTTTAGTAGAGGCGGCAGTTCACCATCTTGGCCAGGCTGGTTGTGAACTCCTGACCTTGTGATCCACCCGCCTTGGCCTCCCAAAGTGCTGGGATTACAGGCACGAGCCACTGCGTCCAGCCTCATTTTAACAATTTTTAAGTGTACAATTCAGTAGCTTTCAGTACACTCAAAATATTATACAACTATCACCATTATCTATTTCCAAACCTTTTCATCATCCCAAACAGAAATTGCACCATTAAACACTAACTTCCCACATCTCTTCTTCCAGTCCCTGATTACCAATACTCTACTATTTCTGAATTTACCTATGCTAGATCCCTCATATAAGTGGAATCATACAATATTTGTGCTTTTGTATTTGGCTTATTTCATTTTGTGTAATGTTTCCTTTTCAAGGTAGACTTTTGATTTTTTAAATGGACTTTATTTCGTACATGACAGATACTGATTTTTATTGTGCAATAAAGGTGTATTTTAAGACAAAAATAAAGGTCAAACAGGACAGGTAGTTTGGGATGAAGAACTGTGACTTCTGAGCCTAAAATGATCCTCCTTTTTTCCATATTGTTATATGGAGGTTTTTAATGTGTAGTATCTAGGCAACCCCATGTCTTTACACAGGTGTTTTACAGCTAGTGGTTAATTCTCCTGGTCTCCCCCAGAGGGCTTTCTATACTTTATAGTCAGGATATGAAGACACAGGGATGCTGTGGGGATTAGTTAAATGTGTGTGGCACAGTTTGCTGTATAAACTAACTCTCTGGAACTAGTTTTCACTCTCTGCTCTTAACTTCCACAGCTTTTACTGTCAATACCATTCATTTGGCACTTAGCACATGCTTGTTAGTTGTCTTTTTATGTTTATATCCTTGAAGGCAGGAGCTAAGTCTCATGCGTCTTTGTTTTTTCAGTCTTGTCTATAATAGCAGCTCAATCAATGTTTGTTGATGTTGGCCTCCCCCTCCCCCTCTCTTTTAAGTAGAGCAGGCAATGCATAGCTTTAAATCCAAACTCGGTTTAAACAAACTGAAAGGTTTTCAGGGTGAAAACAAAGAAGTCTTGCATAGCAGAATAGAAGGCTTGGAAGTCCTGGGTTAAACAGAAGTACCAAAAAACTGTTTGCCACAGGTTAAGAAGTCACTCGCACACAGCATCAGAGTTCTGCTAACTCTGTTTCATCAACATTTGGAGAAGAGTAATGCCCAAGCAGTGTTTGAGGAGGAGGTGTTAAAGGAATTAAGTGTTTTAGAGGTTTTCATTGCTCCAATTCCATTGCTCCACAGCACTAGTTGCTGTGGGGAAAGCATGTTAGAAAAGTGTTTTGAAGGCAACTTTAAGGCTAGGGGCAGGCATACTACAAACGTAGCCACCAGGCCTTTGTTACCAGGATTTTTTTTTTTTTTTAATAGCATCTTCTGTAGTGGCAAAAGACAGGAAATAGCCCAAATTTGCCTCCGGTTTTTTAGAGATTAGTTAAGAGTGGAGAGTGAAAACTAGCTCCAGAGAGTCAGTTTATACAGCAAACTGTGCCACACACATTTAGAGTCTTGCTATGTTGCCCAGGCTGACCTCAAAATCCTGGCCTCAAGGGATTCTCCTCCCTCAACCTCCCTTGTAGTTGGGACTACACACGTGTGCCACCACTGTGTCTGGCTCCCAAATCCCCATTTAATAAGTGGATGAATAAAAGAATTTTGGCATAGTAATGTAATAGAATACTGAATTATAATAAAATAAATAAGGTAAACAGTTTTCCTGAGATGAAAGTATATTTCAAACACATTGTTGAGTAAAGAAATGCAAGGTATGCCATGATTAATGATTTTACTTGTAAGGAACAAAAAGGGAATAGGCACTCATGTTTGAATATGCAAATAATCTATTTGAAAGATGACATACAGTTATAAAGAGAATGGGACTATGGGAGCAGAGTGGTGGGGAGGAACTTTTAACTGTAGTCTTCCATTATTTTTTTTGAGTTGGAGTCTCGCTCCGTCACCCAGGCTGGAGTGCAGTGGTGTGATCTCGGCTCACTGCAACCCCTGCCTCCTGGATTCAAGTAATTCTCTGTCTCAGCCTCTCGAGTAGCTGGGACTACAAGCGTGTGCTACCACCACGTGTGGCTAATTTTTATTTTTAGTAGAGATGGGGTTTCACCATATTGATCAGGCTAGTTTTGAACCCCTGACCTCAAGTGATCCACCCGCCTCACCCTCCCAAAGTGCTGGGATTACAGGCGTGAGCCACCGTGCCCAGTCCAGTACTATTTTATTTGAATTTTTCCATATGCATGTTTAACTTTTTTCACTTGGACAGCATTGATTTTAACAAGCATGCTGTTGCCACTGTGATTAGTAGTAGTCCTGCAGCAAATACCGCCCCCCCCATCTAGTTCTCCTGTCCACTCCAACAACAAGGCTGAAATAATATTCCCTTGCTTCACAAACCAGGTATCTCCATATCTTTAACGTTCAAAACTCACTTTCTCCATGAAAAATCATCCAAATAACCTCACTTCATACATAAACTGAATCATAACAAGAATCATTTTGTGTACACTCCTGCTTCTGAATCTTTCCACAGAGCATGCTGCGCACTCCGTGATGTGCAATCGTCCCTACTTTTCCTGCACTCAGAGTTACATTCTGAGCCCCAATTTACTGTGTGATAGTGTTTCCTTTAAGCACACTTCCTCTTGCATGCCTTGATCCATAGCCCCTCAGATGGCTCCCATTAGGCAGGCTTGAATTGGATGTCACTCTCATGGGCATGAGCTCATTATAACAGCCTTGCGCTGTCAAGACCTTTACAGTTAGGCTTGCTTCCTACTTGAAATGTTTTCTAGGAAATATGTATCTGTAGAGAATGGTGGTTTCCATGGTAAATGTTCCTTCATATTTGTTTTCTCAAGTTCACTTTGCAGATACACAGCATGATTTCCTCTTTCAGTACCAGAACCACAATAGCTTTAAGTTGTCATGAAACCGTAGAACTTTAAAAAAGAAATCTCACCCACCCTGCTTAGAAAAGGGATAATTTATTATTCTAACTGCAGGGAGTCAACTTCATATCCATCCCCAAAATTGTAGGAAAAGAGCTGATTTTTAAAAATAAAGCCACAAAACTTACACGACCTTGGATGTAATGCTTAAAACAGATGAGCAGAAGAATATTAATTCTCTAACACATGTAAGACTCTCCACTATGTGTCATACACAAGTAGGAACACATACATGTTGGAGTGCTTTATAGTTTTCACACACATTTCATTTTCACACCAGTGCCATTAAGTTAATAGGGCATGTCTTACAGCATTTATTTACAGGTAGAAAAATTAAGCTGAGAAGTTAAGCCACTTAACATTAGTCATACAATTAGCTAGTAAGTGCCAGAGCCCCAGATGAGTTCTTTTTTTGGTTCTAAATTCTGTTATTTTGCTACCCCTACACTGTTTCTTTGTGCCTTCGTTTTCCAAGATGTAAAATGGTAGATTTTCCGTGTCCCAGGATACTGTTCTCAACCCTCTGTTTTTAACCAATGTCAGTTTTTTTTTTTCACAGCCAGGAAATGTGAACGCCACACTGGCACTTCATGTAGTTTCCCCCCTCCACATTTAATGAATTAAGGGGAAAGAAAAGTTACCTATTCGCGGAGGGCTGGACAGTGCCATAAACATAAAGGCGTGCCAGGGTCGGCCGACACACTGCTGCACTCTTTTATGAGACTGAGAAAGCGTCTCATCTTTCTCTTCCCAGCGGTAGCTGGGGTAGAACATAGAGCTACACAATAGCCTCTTGTTTAGTTTTATTAATTTTGAGGACTGGTGGGACAAAAGAATCAGACTGGCGACTCCCGGGCCCAATCGCAAACGTACACTAGGCCAGGCCCCGCCAACGAGTAGCTGCAAAAGAATGGTGGGCGGGACTTACGCTTCAGGGGCCCGCTCCGCCCAAGCCGCCGCTAACAGCCCGCCCAGGGGCGGGGCGTCAGCAGAGCCCCGCCCACGACCCCCTCCTCCCTCACCCCGCCGCTTCTGCGGCCCGCCACCGGGAGGCGGGGGAAACGCCCGGGGTGAGGGAGCGGAGGAAGAAAGGAGGGTGTCTCGCAGAGCTGTGACCTGGTGGGGGCCTGCTAGTAATAGGAAGCGAGAGGGGAAGGAAAACGAAGGAGCCTCCTTCCTTCATTATTTTAAGCAGGCTTTGGTGGAAGCTGCTTTTCAGCATTTCTATTATTTGCTTTTCTTCCTCTCGCTGTGGGGCGGAGAGCTGCACTGGCTCTCCCACGCGACTATGCCGCGCTGTTGCCGTAGGTTATTATTGTAGTCTTTTGCAAAACCCTTTCCTTCTTCCCAGTCAGTCCTCGCGCAGACTCTCACGGCTACGGCAACCGAGTCGTGCCCCTCTAGTGGAAAGGCGAGAACGAGGGTCCTCGGCTTTCGCCCGAGCTCCCGGACCCCGCTGTTTAATTGTTTGAAACTTCCCCGCCCCCCGGCCCCGCCTCTCTTCCGCGCTCCCCTTGCTCCTCACTTCCAGGGTCCAGGCAGGCTCCCGCCCTTCTTTCCCCGCCCTGTACTCCGCCTTCCTCCCCAGTCCCCCCCCCCCCCCCCCCCGCTCCGGGGCGGTCCTAGCCGCTCACCGCAAGAAGAAAAGCCACCCGTTGGTCCCCCTCCCCTACCTCCCATCCTTTGCCCAGGAGCTGCCTTGGCAGTCACGCCCCTTCCTTCCGAGGAGCTTTCTGGCTGCCTAAACTGGTAGACCCCCTGAATTACTCCTCCGTCTCCGCTCTCTTTCGCCTCCTCTTCTCTTAGTTCTCTCCGCCTCCCCCCCTAACTACCACCACCTCCAGTCAATCTCGCCTCCGACCATCCGCTGCTCCACCCTCTGGCCCGGTATCCTGCCTGTCCACTGCCACCAAGGAGAGCCCGAACGGAGCAGCGAAGAGGGGAGCAGCCGGGAGTTGGGGCTTCCCCCCTGCCCATCCCTGGCCGCTGGCCCGGGACCGAAGCCACTTGAGCGAGCAGAGAGTCGTCACCTTGTCTTCGTTGCCTTCAGGGGTAGGAGACGTGTGGTTACTTTTCGCGGGGAACCGGGGCAGGAATCCATGGTGGCATGAACTTGGTCGTGCCCTCGGCGTGAGTGAAACGATCTAGGCGCGTGTGACAATGCCCGTGTGTTCTACTTTCTTTGCAGCTGGCCATGAGTTTTTTAGGGTGTGCAGCAAGTTAAATCGGTTAGAGTGTGCGCTGCTTTCCGATCCTACTTAGGTGAGGAGATGCTAGTGGGTACCACTACTAGATGGCACTTTTACTTCCTTGCCTCCTGGGGTTCTTCTGGGTCTCTAGGAAATTAATCACATTGAGGAGCTAAAGACCCGAGGGAAGCTGAAATCTACATTTAGCCTAGCATGCAAGTCAGTGCTTATCTCAGATAACTAGATAGGTTTCTCCTAAGTGCTTAGGCTTGGGGTGTGGACTCACACTCCCTGAGGCGGGAGAAGGAGGGGTAGGACCGTGAATTCTTGAAGTTTTAAAGTCTGTGTAATCTAAAACACAAGGCTACTTTTTGAAATGTGTGTTCGTGGTGGTGCTTGTCGTGGTGGTGATAGTGGTCATGAGGAGGGAATTGCCCATATCTACTTTAGAAGATCCAAAGATGTTAGTAAATAGTTTTGGGGGATCAGGCAGGTGTCTTGAGGGTCCAACCCTGGGCCACTGTACGTTGGTGCTTCAACAGTAAGATGGACTTCGTGGATATGTGAAAATCAAGAGAAAGAAAAGTGGGAGAAAAAATAAGTCTTTAATAGACTGTGAGCAGTTCCTGGTTAATTTCCACTAATAATAATATAATAATATGCATAAAGGGACTAAATAAGATTAAATGAGCAAGGAAAGAGGAAGTCGGTGAGAAACAGCATTTTCAATCTCTAGCGTATGTTTTAGAAATAATTTTTCAACAACCTGGGATGTTTAGTTCAGTTCTCCTCCCTCCCCACCATGAAGAGTGGAAGTCGGGAGGCAGTTTAAAACTTTTATGAATATAACCCTCTTCTCCCATTCAGAGAGGAAGATAATTAGTCACCATAATCTTCAATGATGAAGGGCTAAGGGTATTTAAGTCTCCTTGAGCTAGGCTTTGTGAAAAGTTCTTTCTCAGGCCAGCCTTTGTGAAGCCTTCTCAGACCTTTCAGCACCCTCATTTAGTAGCTAAGAATAGTTTGAAATGCCATTTTGGATGTGGGATACATTTTCATCCATCTCCCACCTATCTTCAATTGGACAAGTGCATCAAGCTTGTAAGTGGTGGTGTTCAAAGACTTATTACTGAGATGTCCTGAACCCATTGCTTATTTGGGAACACATTATTTACATACATTTAAAAATAGCTTTGGTTGATTTTAATGAGTGAAAGGAAGGTAGGAAGGTAGAGAAGGAACGTTACATGGCGACAATTTTAAAGGCTATCCTGTTTCAGATCAGCTGGGAGGGAAAAGCTGGCCTAACCAAACTACATTTTATAACTGGCCTGGGACATTTTAACAGCCAGGTGGTTGTAGAGTAGTTGCATCTATTTACAGATGATAACTCAGGTTCCAACTATTCTGTATGGGTTTATCCGGTGTCATTGACAGACACTTTCTGGCACGACATCATACTTCATTTTAAATTACTTCTTTCTTTGGAAAAGTTTGTGGCTTTGTAAAATTGAAAGTGTTTTTTCTACCTTCATGGTGTAGATGTGAAGTAAACCTCGTTGTATGTGGAGTCACTTTTACATGAAATTTGTGGATCTGTTTAACTATTTAAAAGATTTTAGAAAGGGAATTTTAATAATTCATAGTCAATGCAATTTTGGATTTAGAAATTAAAATCTCATTTCTGGTTTATGAAGTTGGATTTATTAGACTAATTCCCAACTAGGACATTTGTAGAGTTACTTTCTCTGAGGTTTTGTAAAGACCACATCAGACTCTAGAATGCTTTAAGAATAGCCTAATCAGAAGGCAGGGGGATGGATACTATGACCTTGAGGTCCCATTGAGTGCCAGAATTCTAAGTGGGTACATCTGCTTCTGTGCCTCTCCTAAGAGCCCTCTCCCAGGGCCTGCGCCTTCTTTAAAAGGGTGTCTTTGTAATTAAGCAGCCCTTCTTCCCCATCCCCCTTTCTTCCTTTGATCCAGCTTTTTAAGGCCTTTTTTTTCCATTTGGAGACAAGAGGAGTTTCTCACACTTTCCTGTTCCCCTCTTAAAGTTTCTTTTCCTTTACCTCAGAAAAGTCCCCTGAAGTTCTCAGGATGGTTAGAAGTTGTTTTGTTTTGTTTGGGGTGTGGGGGTGGAGTGGGGGAGTTGTTACCAGTGAGGAGGAATAGAGGATATATTCCCTCTTGGGAAATGCTTGCGACCAGGTAGCCTCCTCCATGGAGACTGAGCATTTGGAATGCATGAGAACAGTCTATTCTTGGGGACTGTCTGGTAGAAATTGTCCTTTGCACCCATTAAGCCCAGCTTAAACACATTGAAAGGGGTGGGGAGAGGTGTGTGTGGTCGTAGGGGAGCCTTTTAGGATGGTAAATGGGTAAATGTTTCCAAATCTCCTATTACATCATCTCTTTCTCTCATGGATTCAGTAGGTTTAGTGATCTGCTTGACAAGTTAATTAGCTGGGGACTAAACCAATTTGTTTAGAATTGTGATCCATTGATTTCCTGTCCCCAGGAATTTTTGTTGGTGTTTTACTATGATGTGTTGTCTTTAGTCTTACTTACTTTTCCCTCCTTGCTGCCTTTTGTGGACTTTGGTCCAAAATCTAGGGTTCCACCCCCAAGTCAAAGGTTAGAATTTTGTCCCAGGAACTAGGGGGGTATTAAACAGGCTGGCCATACTGCATACTCTCCTCCATGGTGGGCTTCTGACCCCTTTTAACCCAGAGAAAGGAGGGAAGTCGCCCCTTCCACACACAACACACACAATCTGAACAAAAAAGAAAAAGAAAAAGAAAGAAAGAAAATAGGAGGTCATTTGCTTTATAAAAGAATCCACAACAGGTTTCTTTGTAAGTACTAGCTTTCCTAGTTAGTGCCTTTAAACTGTGACTTGATATATAAAAATTCACTCTAACTGGGCCTTCTAAGAAGCATATTTATTGCATAAAGGAATACATAAGAATTTGTAATGATTATCGCTTAAATGAAGTGAGACCATTATTTGGCCTTTGAAATCTTTTTGTTATATGGAATGGAGTTAGTTAGTTGTCTAAATCATCCTGGCTTGTAATAATGCTGGCCACGTTAGCTCCGGCCTACAACTGCTTGCAGAAGAGAGCTAGCATTACTTTTAGAAAATAAATCAGACTCTATAGATTTTTAATAGTTCTAAGGATGAGACTATCCACCCCATATAGGTAAAATATTTTATTTCCAGTCACTGTATTTGACTTACCCAGGGATCCTGAAAGTTATTTCTAGTAAATGGTGGCGACTGATGCCACTTTTAACCTAAGAATCTGCAATAAGATTTCCTAGTGAGCCTATTGGTGAGAAGGACCTGGGCTCTAGGCCCAACTGTAAATTGGTTTACTACTTCTGTTAAGTATTTTTTTTTCCACTGTAAATTGTGGGTTCGGTTAGGGTGATTTTGAGAGCCAGTTCTCATAAGTTTATGGTTTTCTTTCTAGGCCTCAATATCTAGTATGAATGTGAATGATTGCTACTAGAAGGAGGTGCAACAGTTGTTAGAAATTCAGTCATCTAGTCATCATGTTAAAACAAAAGATCCTGTAAGGATATATCAATATAGATGCATTATGTTTTATATTTTAACAACTCCAAATTAAGAAGCTAAGACTCTGCCTAAAACTTTATCAAGAATTCCATCATCCTAACAGATCACCTGCTTTCATTTTTTCTAGTTCCTTTCAAGTCCTGGTTCCTGTACTAACACGAATTTTAGATAATTAAAGCCACAGATATATGCAATGTTGCTTTTCAATAAGAGCCCACCTTAGACTTAGCTTTGCAAACCCACGTGGAGGAATGAAGGCAGAATCTGACCGAGGACACATGAAAACTCCCATGTATTTTGTTTCTCAAATACCAGAAGAGGTTAACGGATATAATAAGTAATCCCTAAACACTTTTTGTGATTCAGGAGTTCTTGTATCTAGCAAGTCTGTTAATTCAATTCCTTTGACCTCCTGTTATCTCTCCCCCATGCTTGTTAACAACAACAACAAACTAGGGTTCACTGTTTACTTTGTCTAAATCGTTGGCAATGATTCCTAAATCACTGTATGGTGATATCCCATCAAGTGAGTACAAATTTGAGTGGACTATGAAATCTCCAGAATGAGAAAGGAGAAGCAGGAAAACACAGATATACTTGTTTTATAGCATGGAAAATGATATGTTTAAATTAAAAGATAGCAGAGAAACTAAGGATTTTAGACAGTTAAATAAAAGACATTAGGTAAGCAGCAGAATGCGCCGTGCATAATGGGTTCTTCATCTGAGATCTTCACCATGTAGTAAAAGTTCAGTTTCATAGTCCTTTAATTTTCCTTTGATAACAAAAATATGGTATACATGTGATCTTTAAGATTTGATGGATTCACTGGGCGCAGTGGCTCACACCTGTAATCCCAGCACTTTGGGAGGCAGAGGCAGGTGGATCACCTAAGGTCAGGTGTTCGAGACCAGCCTGACCAACATGGTGAAACCCTGTTTCTACCAAAAATAAAAATTAGCTTTGCATAGTGGCACATGCCTATAATCCCAGCTACTTGGGAGCCTGAGGCACAAGAATCCCTTGAACCCCAGGAGGCGGAGGTTGCAGTGAGCCAAGATCACACCATTGCACTCCAGCCTGAGCAACAAGAGCGAAACTCTGTNAAAAAAAAAAAAAAAAAAAAAAAAAAAAAAAAAAAAGGTGAAGGGTATTATTTAAATTTTAAATGACTTAGAACAGAGGCCAGATGGTGAATATCTGGGGTGCTGCGGGTCCATGCAATCTCTGTGGCAGTGTTCTTCCTTTTCTTTTTAGAATGTAAAAACCATCCATAG